CAAGCATGCATATATTTGTACATCACCACAAACACACACACACACAGGAACACACACATATACACATAGGTACACACATGCAAGCATGTACATACTTATATGCCACTGCACACACATGTATGTTTTTATACGCTATGAAGCACACACACACATACATATACACACGTACATACACAAGCATGTATATATTTATATACCCCTACGTGTACATATTCATATACCACTATATATACACAGATAAGCACGCATGTATTTATTTACATATTTATATTTCACTATATACCCAAACACATGCATGCACATATATACCATATTGTATGCACACACACGCACACACACACACACACACACACACACACACACGCACCACAAATAGGGGTGGTTAACATTAGAGAAGGACTGGAGGAAGGCAGAAAGAGAAGAGAACAGGCACATTAGAACCTTTACTTCTATGAAAAATGCCAAATGTCTAGGGTTGCTTGAGAGCAGAACAGAAGGGTGTCAGGAAGATTTAATTCCTGAAAAGCAGCTGACAGGTGGGGATAGAGCAAACACAAATTTTGTCTTGTGCGTATCACTTGATTTCTGCAACAACTCTGCAAGTGAATTGTTTGTTTTTTCCCATTTTATGGTTGAGAAAACTGGGGCTTAGAAAAGCTGATTAAGTTGTGATTACTTCTACTATTTGTGTTCTCTTTAAAAACTTTACATTAAATATTTTGGGAGTAAAAATGAGAAGCAAGCATAAATAATATAGGCTATAGTAACTTAAAGTGATTCAATTAAAGTAGAAGAAAAGAAATATAAGAAAATGGCAGTGGTGGTCTTTGACGGAGAGTCCCCTTTTCCTCATTCTTAATTCCCTAATCATCCCACACAACACTGTTACTTCATCACCTCCTAAGCACTGCTACCATCACCAGCACCATTCCCAAATGGCATGTGTTACTTTAGAGAGGGAAGCTCTTTTTGTTTTGTTTCTTGAGATTTCAACATTTGTTTCTAACAAAGCAGAGATGTCTGAAGCACTTTACAGAAGGAAGAGCTGGTATTTTAAAGTCTGGATTAATAAAAAAATCTGTAATAGAAATGAATAGACTCTCTGGGACCTTCTATTAGGACTAGGTCACTCTAGTTTCTCACTCGCTATACTATAAGACAGGAGGAATAGCTAAGTGGTGGGACTGAAAACAAAACCAGAAACCCAGTCTGTAAGACACCTTGCATATCCCTGCAGTCCATGGAAAGTAAATATTTGAAATGCCCAAGATGCAACTCACAGGCCACATGAAGCTCATAAAGAAGGAAGACCAAGTGGGGGTGATTCAGTTCTTCTTAGAAGGAGCAACAAAAATACTCAAGGGAGCAAATATGGAGACAAAGCGAGGGACAGAAACTGAAGGAGGGGCCATCTGAAGACCTCTCCACCTGAGTATCCATCCCATGTGCAGTCACCAAAGGTAGATGCTGATGTGGAAGTCAGGAAGTGCATGCTGATAAGAGCCTGATATGGATGTCTCCTCAGAGGTCTTCAAGAGTCTGACATATTCAGAGGCAGATGCTCACAACTAGCCATTGAGCTGATCATGGGCTTCCCAATGGAGGAGTTAGAGTGAAGGCCATTGGAGCTGAAAGGGTTTGTGACCCCATGAGGAGAGCAACAATACCAACCAAGCACAGCTCCCAGGGTCTAAACCACCAGCCTGAAAGCACTTAGGGAGGGATCCAGGGCTTCAGCTGAATAAGTAAGAGTGGAGAGCCCTGCTGGGCATAGGTGGAAGATGAGATCCTTGTCCTCCTGAAGGCTGGACGCCCTAGGGGGTGGGAATTTGAGGGTGGGGAAGTGGGAGGGTAGGTAGGGGTTACATCCACAGAGAAGAAGGAGGAGGGGTGAGGGGATAGGGGGTTCCCAGGTGGGTGGGGGATGGGGTAGGGGGACAACATATGAAATGTAAATAAAACATCCAATAAAAAAAAAAAAGGAAATGAGTTTGTTTATTGACCGTACAGAATTTTAACGAAAGGGTAGGAATTTTACCAAAAAGGTCTTCTGTGCTTCCGAACATTTTAGATTCAATAAATTATGCGGAAATACACAGCCAACGATTAAGATAATGTGTGGTAGAGATAGTTTCTCTTCACAGTGCTGAACATAAGAACCGAATGCACTGAGGGAGCTTGTGGCTCTGTGTAGGCAGAGCTGAAATGTAACAAATGCCACCCTTTAAACCCAGGCAAACCACCTACTGCCAAACAAAAGGCTGATTCAGTCAGGCAATCTTTACATACCTTCTAGCCACAGGGTAGAGTAATGTTGGATTTAATTGATCTCAACTCAGGGGATTACTAAAGTCCAATCAAATCGTTAAGTAATAGAAAAAAAGGTTTGAATCTAGACCTTTTACACTGGAGATTCAAGTAAAAAATGGATGGGCAAAGAAAACATCACATTTGTCTTTCACAGAAAATAATTTTTCTTTTATTTTCTTTGGAAATATAACCCTCTAAACTGTGTCCATTTGATTTTAGTAACTTGGCTAGAAGGACCTGGCCCCAATAAGTATTTATTAAAATGTAAATTATAGTTGTCTAAAAGAAAAATATCAGAGAGAAATAGTAAAATGAACACCCTTGGGTTATAGGACATAGAGATTTTAACCTTATGAGGAATTAAGAAGTGATTTTAGAAAATGGAAAGTCCAGAACATAGGTCATTTGCTTTGGAACAAACAGACCTTATTCACAGCTGTGATCCCATTCCCTGGGGCTGCCACTGTCCACCAAAAATGGCTGTCCACCCAGCCTGCTACCATATTGAATGGTCTATTTGTGAGCCTGTGATCATATTGATGGTCCAGATGTAAGCCTGCTACCATATTGAATGGTACTTTTTAAATCCCTATGTCACACATATTATTTATGTTCCTTTAAATTCTCCCTATAGATCAGTGATCCTCAGCCTTTGGATGATGACCCATTTGGGGGTCACAGGACCCTTACACAGGGGTGGACTAATACCTTCAGAAAACACAGATATTTATATTATAAGTTAAAACAGTAGCAAAATTACAGTTATGAAGCAGCAATAAAAATAATTTTATAGTTGAAGTCACCCAAACCTTAGGAACTATATTAAATGCTCACAGCATTAGGAAGGGTTAGAACCACTGCTATAGAGAATCTTACTTTTGCTTGTAACACTACCAGCCACCCTCAGGGGTAACTTTCAGCCTCTCTGTCTCATCTTGTACCCTTCCAATCTTCCTTATCCTGTTCTGTCAGTTTCTCATGTCTAAACACTACACTGCTCTCATCTTCCCCATTTATACCCTTTGAAAAGATTGTGAGCATGTAACATAACTGGCAATCTAAAGCACATTATTAATGCTGATAGGTGCAAATGACTGCAATTCAAAGAAAGGACATCAGGCCAGACAAACAAGATTTAAAAAAAATGATAACCAGAATATAAATGTGAGTATAAGGAATGCATTTTCTAAATGACCCACCTTGCTGCTAATATTAACTAATGTTTGGTCCCTAATTAAGATGTGCATATTATGCATTGTCGTATTGTATTTGTTAACATTTGTCTGGACAGATGGCTAATGTATCTCTCACCATTTCCATGAATCAGGCTTTGGTTAATGGCCAGCTATACCTTACATTAACATAGACACCATAGCATTGCTGTCTATGTTCAGAAGCAAAGACTTGGTAGTAGTTAGTCATGAGTTCCCTTTTGTCTTCATAATATGTGCCATGTGAATCAAGTGTCATATGTCATTTAAAATGATGCACATATTCTCTTTAACTATGGCTTTCTTCATTGCAAACATCTTCACTTTTATAAGTTTGCTCTTCCATGTGCATGTATACACATATCACAATTCATCCAGTCACAATTGCTAGCATATTAGGTAACCTAGAATTTAAGAACTTACAGTATGGATGATCCACTTACATGCTTCTAAAAGCACATTCAGTTTTCTATATGCATAAATAGAACTAACTGTTTTTTCTTGTAAAAGAAAATAAAAAAAATCAAGTGATTTGAAAGAAACTATATTGTTGATTCCATGATTTCTCTTTTCATTACGAGAATATTTACTTCATATTCATTGCAAATAGAGAAAGAGAAAGAACTGAGTGATAGGCTCATAAGTATCTCAGGACGGTTGTGCAGACACGAACAGATGAGTATATGCTATACAGCCTTCTGTTTTTGCAATATCTTATAAATGAGATGCTTTATTCACTAACAAAGCCATCATCTCTCTGAAGCCACAGGCACATTAGGCTATATGGAAGCATAAAAGAGTTCCAGTTACGCTAAGCTAGCAATCCTACATTAAAAATTGTTTATAACTCATGCAGTTTGATGTTGGCCATTCTTATGAATTTCCTCTGAGGTAATTTTATTCCAAGCTCCTGCATACTAACATTACTTGGAAAGATCTATGGAAAAGGGTTAGAGAATCATTTCTCATCAAGACCAACCAAATAAGGCTGACTGCCTCTCTTTTGTGGAAGTCAGTTGTGAGTAACTATACAATGCAAGAAAAGTTCCATTATTTTGACTCACTAGCCTATTGTCAAATTCTCTTGGTAAATGGGTAGTACAGTTCCTGAAGGGTAATTCTTTGTCATGCAGCAGAAATTTTCCCTACAGAGGTCAGAAGTGTTCTGAATGTTCTGATATCATTTTTCAGAGAGGAACAAGTGTTTTAAATCAAGGTTTCTGGGGCTCTGTCTACAGTCCCCCATATCTTAATATGAAACCGATTCCTGCTAAAGTGCTAGCAAATCCCTCCATTTAATTTTAGATCTTCAGTTGATCCAGAGGTGTGTTTAATATGGAAAGCAGAAGCTTATGCTTTGAGACATCTGCATGATTGTATTTCGCTTCTGCCATCAGCTAAGTAGGACAAAGTTGATTCCATCTCACAAAACTCTATTTCACTTTTCCTCTCTTGACTTGGAATTTCAGCTTTGCTTACCTGCTTCCTAGAAGATACAGTGCTGTTGAAACATCTGTTGGTGGCATTTAAATTCAAATTCTTGTTCTGATGGACTGAGTCACTTTTCCACATCTTAGAGTTTTCTTTAGGGTCTGAAGGAATAGGGTTTAAGAAGAGGATTCTAGCTATAAATCCATAAAGCACAGTGGCCAGGATCATTGGAACGACATAAAAGACACCGAAGTCCATCAGATAAATAGGCGAGTAGTAGTTCCTGGAGATCTTGTAGCCACAGGATACCACAATAGCACCTTTGTAGCTGCTGATATTGAGATCCAGCAGGAAGAACCAGAGCATACAGTAAATGGACGTGAAGGCCCAGACAAAGATAATGATTTTTTTGGCTCTGGAAAATGTGCAGAGAAACTGGGCTTTGATGGGGTGACAGATTGCTATGTACCTCTCAATGGTAAAGGCTGTTATTGAACATGAGGATGCATTAATTCCTAAGTACTGGAGATATGTAATGCAGAGGCAGCCAGCATAGCCATAGACCCAGGAACCATAGATGCTGTCGGTTATGTTGGGGAGGCCTGCAGCCACCAGAACCATGAGATCCGCCACAGCCAGACTCACCAGGTAGCAGTTTGTAGGGGTTCTCATGTGCTTTGTTCTCATGACAACTAGGACTACCATGATGTTGCCCACAATGCCCAGTCCACAAATAATGACTACAAGTAAGATGGTGACCACCTGGTATTCAAGAGCCACGGCTGCTTGTGGCTGGAGCTCGGTTTGGTTCAGTTCACTGACAGTATCATTCTCCATCTTCAGTGGCTTGAAGCTTCCCTGACGCAGAGACTCTTTAAAACATCTTTCCAGCCTTCACCCTTTTGTTGTTTGTTTTTTGTAGTAGTTCTTTCCCCTGTGAAAAGCCATACACATGTTCACTCACAATCTCTCCATTTCCAATCACGTCATACTTACGGGCAACTCATTTCCTCTCTTTACACCTCTGAGACTTTACACTAGTGGGGTGCCAATGCACTTCTGAAAACTCCTTTTTTGTTTATTTGTTTGTCTTTGGCAATTCTAGGCAAAATGAAGTATTGTTTTTGACCACATCACATTAAAAAGAACGACTTAACAACTCTCTCTTCACAGGGAAAAATCTTAAGAAAAGAGAAGCAGAAAAGTGTACTGTTTTGAAACAGGGTTCAGTTGGAAAAAAAACAACAATAAACAAATCTAAAGTACCAAAAATCCAAAAATGTGCTAGTTGCAAATGCAAAGAAACCACTCAGATGCTCTGGGAAAGTGCAGTGAAGAAGAAAAGGTATCACCGGAAAAAGCCAAAGGGTGCAATAGTCAAGCCTGGTAGGAATTTAGCTATTGCTTCCAGCTCTTAGAAATGAAGTCTCATTGGTATAGAATAACAAGATTTTGCACCTAACTTCCCCATGCTCCAAGTCCCCAATCTTAATAAAAGACAGTTTCCTCTCTTACCTCTTCACTCTGTCACGCTGCCTGCTTCTCTGGGTAGATGAAGTGCTGATAGGTCCAAGTTTCCAGTCGTGCAGAAGAAATCTTGTCGAGTCTGTCTGGCAGGAAGATCACTTAGCAGAGGCTCAGTCTTCAGAGCGAGCGGCAGTTCCTCTAAACCCTCACATCCCTTTTCAACTCATGACAGACCACACAGCCGCAGTAACAGAGAAGCAGCAGCAGCAGGAGCAGCACTGAGGCTGTCAAACCATAGATCGTCCCTTAATGAGAGTGTTCTCTCTCTCTCTCTCTCTCTCTCTCTCTCTCTCTCTCTCTCTCTCTCTCTCTCTCTCTCTCTCTCTCACACACACACACACACACACACAAATGCTAGTCAATCCTAACTGATTCAGAATCTTCTGTTGAAAAATTTACTTTTAAACATGTGGCTGACATAGTGCTCCGTGTGGAAGGCTGATCACAGATAAAAGGATCTTTTAACAGCTGAGCTTGTAGGTAAAGATGCTCTAAGTTCCGCAGAAACTCTTGTCCCTGAGCTGCTCTGAAATATATTTTCCTTCTTGCTGGATGGGATTTTAGGAGGTAGCAAAACCTGGGCAAAAGCCCTTGAAGCTTGCAATAGCTGCTTGCTTTGAAACTTCTCTCTGCTATGGAAATCTTTGTACTGTTTCTCCACTAAACCAGTAAAACTGCTTCCTTCTATCATTTTATAGGAGTGAAAAATGAGTTAAAATTGATTTTAAACCATTGCAACTGTGAGCTTCTGAGGCTCATATAAAACTTTTCTTTTGAAAGAGTGACTTGGAGACTTGGAGTAGGGGTGTATACTTTCAATCGCAGTGGTCAGGAGTCAGGAGGACTGTGAATTCTAAACCAGTTTGGGCTATATATATCAAGACCCTATGTCGTGAACAAATAAGTAAACAAACAAAGAAAACAAGTAAATAAGATTAGCAAAATCCACCTGTGGATTTTCTAGGTCCTCTGCTTGCTGCAGGTACCCGTGTCCCTTACATTACGGCCTGAAATGCCAATCATAGGACCTACCCATGAAAGCTTTCTCTCAATCATGTTTCTAGGAGGGACAATTATCTAGTGAAATTCTAACCAAGAGCCCCTGCAGTCCCCAGTGCTTGAAATGAAATGTGTTATGGACTCAATGTCATTTTAGAAAAGTACAAGTCTGATTTTCAGCTCTCTAAAGCCACCTGCAGCAAGTTTATAGCATGGCTCTTCTCTGAATTGAATGCATCAGCTGCTACTGTTTGTGTGCTTTTGCCTGACCAACGCACAATGAGAAGGAGCCTTTAGCTGGACTCTCAGCCTGGGGCATCAATTCTCTATTTTACAAGATCAGATCCTCCTCAGAAGAAGAGTCTATTTTAAGTAGATAGGACCACTAGGACATCAGAACTGTGACCAAAGCCAGGTAGCAATGATACTGAGGCAATGCTGAGAGCCACTGCAAGTGACCCCTACCTCATGGAGGAACACCTTAGAACCCAGTTCTTTTCCCAGATCAGATGATGTTACAGATTTACAGTGCAGAAGACACATCCTTCAGGTATGTATTGTTTGGCCTGAACAGGACCAGCTCAAGTGTGCTTTAAAACAATTAGATTATTTTTACCTTTCAAAATCTAGAAATTGTATATTAAAATCAGATTTTTTTCTCCTCATAAAAATTCAAAGGGTCATGGTGCTGATGGGCTGACAGCCCCACATGAAGCTTAACTGACAACTGGCAACTGTGAGTGAAAAGTTGCCAGAATCCTTGATGTAGAATGTGATCTCTCCCATCCTCCAGATGCCCCATCGCCTTCTACCTGTCTGTTACACAAGCTACCCTTTTCTCAGTAATCCTACATGTATGATCTCTGTCGGTATTTGAGTTTTGGCCTGTGGATCATTCCCTAATTTTTAGAGAGAAAAGGAGGACACCAGTCAAGCATACATTCTTTTATCCTGTGCCTGAATATTCGTTTGTTCCTTCAACTGGTTTAACAGACTGACCCTTTCTCCCTGGTCTACAGGGCAGAGTATTACTCAGAATCGTTTCTTTCTTGTCTGTTAATCTGTCTGTTAATCGGGATGAAAATGCTTTCTCTGAGGGAGGCATTGTCTCCCTACTTTATCCTGACTTCACTACTTCAAATTAAAATCCTACTTCAGAAAGCATATCTTACCTTCTCATTCTCCCAGGACCTTTATTCAGCTTCAGCTCTCATAGGTGGTGTGCTATGACTACTGTGTGGGTTTCTCTTTACTGTAAAGTGAGCACTTGCAGGGGAGTC